TTCTTATGTTGAGACATTATTTCTGCATTTCTTAATTTTTCTTCCATTTTTTATTCTGGTTTCAGCTTGATTGTTAGAAAGAACATATTTCAGAACACAAAGTATGGGGGTAGTTAGACAAGTTCATCTTAATAAAGGTTTGGTTATAATTTCCCCTCATATTTTATACAGGGATATTAATAGGATAAGTCTGTTTTGACCTCTGATCTCTGCATTGCTTTGTATTTTATTCATTGGCCAAATGTGGAAAAAAGAGTATTTTCTCAGTCAGGCAATAAGCACTTTGAAGATGTTTGTTGGAACTGAACATCAATTTGTACACAAGTCAATGGGAACAGATAGAGCCCTTTCTATGTCACTACCGGCCAATACTTAAGTTTCTTTATTTAACAACTTGTGTACTGGGGTTTAGAAAATATTGTTATGTTTAAAAAAAACATGATTGTGAATTCAAAAATTCTTACGAAAACCATATTTACTAGTCAACGATCATTGATCTGTTTCATTCCACGTTGAGCAATGGTATAAGTGGATAAAAGGGTTATAAACTTTAGCCGGCAAAATCATTGGACATGCTATTAAGTCATGAAATATACCATCTATACTCACAGCTACAAACTACACAGATCCAGACAAGTATCACATAATGTGCTGACTGATCTGGGTCTGTTCAGAGTAATTGATAGAACAAGCAAAAATCCTGATCTGCCAGTGCATTTCGCAAATCAGGGTCCATGATGTTTGCAGTTGAACTTGACATTTAAGTGAGTACATGCAGTACTTAAAGGAAAGCCCATGAATATTTTCATTTATTTGACATATTAATTTCTTCAATGAGAAAAAATGTAAATGTTCAGAATAATTTTACCTCTAACTTGTGAACATCTAGTGTATATCTACCCTGGATATGGCACTGCTATATTAAATTGGTAAAATGTATGAATGATGTGAAAACTTTTGAGGATCTCCAAATGGTTTTTTTTGCATTATGAGGTCTGTTTGTGTTCACTTCATTGTTGTCATTACTTCAGTTAAGAATGTTGTTCTGATGAAAATGTAAACACATTAAACCTCAAGTTATGTATGCTTTAATTGAACTGCACTTTTTTATTTGATGAGGAGGACTTAATTGTATTATCATACAATTTAAAATAAAGGACATTGGAGACATTGTTGGAAATATAACTTGAAATAAACAAATAATGCTTTATGTGGGCTGAAAATGAAAAGAAATGGTTCATATTTTAGAAATTCTGTAATCATGTATTATGCTGCATAGTACATGAAGCTATTGTGAACACAAACTGACTTTATGACATAATGGGCGGTTTCTAATAGTGGCCAACGATGAGAGTGATAATATGGTGCATCCAAACAAATAATTTTGTAGACATATGAAATGTTTTCTATTCTGGTGTGGAGTTTACATAAAACAGTTATCATACATAGATATGTAATAAATAAAATGCAATGTGCACTTTGACTTCAAATAACTTGTGTAAGTGTATAGACAATAAAATTTTATAATTTAAAGTACCTTAATACACATAGTTAATAGGAGGGAAACAGAAAAAAAGTTTAATAAATGCATAACAAAGCTGTATGCATTTCTTTTCAAGTGTATGTGTATTCTGTGATGGATGTAGTTCGCATGTTAACCAACAACACCTATCAAAGTCTGTATAGTCTGAAGGTTCTAGTGTAACCCAGCCATGGGTTACCAGTATTTAGAACTAGGAAAAATCTGGTGAGATTTTATTGTCATTGTACAGTTATGTTATGAGAGGACATGTATTAGATGACATGCAAATTATACTGTCTTTAATCATGTACAATGATCTTGTCCAAGCAAAATGGATTTATATTGTACATAATGTACCAGGTCAGAGTCTGCATTTTCAATCCAGTAAAATGAATAGTGTCAACTAGTCTGATCTGGTGAAGTACATGCTCCGTCACTATCAAACAACTCTGTATAATGTGGCTTCTGATACAACACAGATATGGTCATGGATTTCACTAGACTGTCAAGCAACTCAGTATAACATGGCCTATGATATAACACAGATATGGTCATGGATTTCACTAGACTGTCAAGCAACTCAGTATAACATGGCCTATGATACAACACAGATATGGTCATGGATTTCACTAGACTGTCAAGCAACTCAGTATAACATGGCCTATGATGTAACCATATGCTGGCTGAAGTTAACACTGAACCACAGTATAGTGAGAATAATGCAAAATATAGGGCAGAAGTGGGTAGGAAATAAATGAAATGCTAGTCAAACATATTGTAATAATTTTACTGCCTGTCGGTTTATATAGCAGTCACAATTAGGATAGACCCATGCTGATCCAGAATAAATAAGAAGTTTGATGTTGAAGCTATAAGTTTCTAAAACTTAACTGAATTTTTGTTATTTGTTTATTGAAGTTTGGAGTATTGTTAGGGAGTAAGGGACATCAATGGCAGAATGTCTGGAGCCAACATATGACCATGTTATAATGAAGCATGTAAAAACAGGGTGTGCAATGAAGCATGTAAAAACATGTGTGCAATGAAGCATGTAATAACAGGGTGTACAAGGATGACATATCTGGGTCTAAGATGGTTTCCATTAGGATATGTGTTACCCACCTGCAACAAGAGTATTTACACAGCAGGGACTGACTTCCTTACCTCCAACAAGAGTAAAGGCAGGATTTAGTTTTTGTTAGATTTTTTTATTACCAAGTGTGTTTAAATATCAGGGATTGCAATTTTTTTTTCTTCAGGAATTCAAAAATAGCTAGGACTGGACTGAATCATTTTCATTGTACAGCACTTATCACTAAAATGCTGTCATTGATTTTTGAGTTATTTTTTAAATACTTAGTCATACAATAATAACTAACATGCACGTTCAATACCTCCTCATTAGGGTATACTGCAGTCAAGGGAGACCACTTACAATGAAGAACAAGATCCATATAATTTTACTGGCGCTTAATTAAATTGGATGCCTGACCATACTTGCCTTATAACAGGAACCATGTTATAATGAGGGGCTTTATAACATGATCCATGAACCATGAATTAAGATGCCTTGTAGTGAGAGAGTGGTGTATTTGATTGGAAAATGGATGCATACTTTTATTAATGGTTTTCATTGGTGCTTTGCTGTCATATTTACTTGATATACAAATTGTCAAAGGTATTTTTGAAATATTTTGCACTAGTTATTCTGTATTAAATGACTATTCATAACTAACACATGTAAATATTATTACTAATTAAAAATATATTTAACTTCAAGTATATGTTAATTTACTAATCTGCGAAGACAAAACCTTGATAAAGTGCTTCAAGAGAGCTCACGACAGTTGTATAAACAGTAAAACCGCCCCATAAAGACCTCTGATTGGATTGAGGAAAGTGGTCTTAATTAGAATTTGGTCTCATTTCTGAGGACACCTCTTACTCTCTTATATAGTAAACAAGACTTAATGAATCTGGTATCTGTTTGGGGGAGTGGTCTTTATTCAATGGTGGTCACAGTTGGAGTTTTTACTGTATGTATGTATATTAGCAATATATATTGCTAGTCTGATAAAAAAATATAACTAGATTTTTATTGAATAGCTTTTTTACATGTACTTCAAATGATCTAGGTCAGATAAATCCACTTTCTATAATGTCTCAACAAAAGAGAACATGTCTCTTTGGCATGCATATATCAGACTTATCAATAATGTTTCATTATGTATACCATTGAAAAAAATGTAGCTGAAATTAACTTCATTTTGTCCTATATTACCAAATTTACACAAATAATCACAGGACTTATTGGGGTTTTTACGGTAAGCTTAACAATTTCTTGGCACAGTGATTCTTCACAATAATATTGATACTGAGAATCAAAAGCAGTGGTGGCTCAGTAGTTAAGAAACTGGACTTGCAGGCAAATTGTTTGAAGGTTTTATTCTCACCATTGGACAAGCTTAGGTTGGCTACTTGGTGTTCCATTGGGCAAAGCTTTTATTCTTCTTGCAGGAACTGGATATAGCCATTGCTGTTCCCTAAACCACCCAAAATTAAAAAAGCAAGAGAGCTATAAAGGTGTACTGTGTAATATGTAAGTTTGCCTCACACTGGAGTACAGTATTCAATGTATTAGTACAACATATTGTAATGGAATCCATGTCTATAAGTAATAAAAGGAACCATGTTGTAATGAGATACTGTAACAAAGGTAACCATGTTGTAATGAGATACTGTAACAAAGGTAACCATGTTGTAATGAGATATTTAAAAAAAAGAACCATGTTGTAATGAGATACTTTAATAAAAAGGAACCATTTTGTAACGAGACTCACTGTCTTGAGGGATCACTGTACTGTCAAAATTCTTAAGTGCATGTATTACACATTTTAATTCATTTTACTGTATCTGTGATCACTCCATGTGTTGTGATAATGAACAAGCTTTCCCAGTTATATATATATATATATATATATATATATATATATATATATATATATATATATATATATATATATATATATATCTATATACTCACTTATAAGACAAGACTAACAGGAAACTGTACAGACACACATCTACCATCACATAATCTGCCAACAGATCTGCGACTGTGCAGTTTGTTAAGAATATTCACTAAAGTAAACAACTGACCCAGATCTACAGAAGCATTATGCTAGGCATAGCACGATCATTTGTTAGCAGATTGACTCGACTTATAAGCAATTTTATATATTGTACTAGTATTGCGTCTAGGGTGGAAAGATTTGTTGCAGTAGCCGGGAAGCAAAGCAAGTTGATAACTCAGCATCCAAGATATTAGTTGTTCCTAATATGTTGATGAGCAGAGGAAACATTATACTATAATTTCCATCCCTATGGTGTACACAAAACTACAATCAGTGTGTAGTCCCAGATGTAGCATCTCATATGATGTACTGTGATAGATCAGGATCTACTTTTATTGATGTAAGAATTACTTTCCTGTGGTAGAGGGTTGGACTTGTAATCCAAAAACATGGGTTTGATACCCATCCAAGCACCGTGGCACAGTGTATCCTTGGGAAAGGTATTTAGCTCCCATTTCCTTATAGCTTCATACTTTAAGGAAACAACTTAGACCTAATCTTCCATGTATTATGTGATGGCACCTCAGGGTTTAAAGTATCAGTAATGGATCCATTTTACACATGTAAAATTGGGTATTCTTTTTAATGTTGAACTGCATGTATATCAGTTCTGAAAATACAAGTACTAACAGATTATTACTAAGTGGCCTGTCATTTGAATTTTCACACACACACATACACACACACACACACACACACACACACACACACAACAACAACAACAATAACAACCTGTAATTTGCACTGACTGCTGAGATAAATGGTATTTTTTAAAAGTTGAGTTTGTTTGTTTCTTAAATTCATTTACACTGGCATTTAATGAACATTGCTTAATTGCCAATTGTGAGTTGTGTTGTATAGAAAATTCTAAATTAGAGCTATAGTTAATTTAATTGTTTTCAAGTTTTGTAAGTTTTAAAATTTGTTTCTGATTGCTATATTTGTATTATTGACCAGTATATTTAATAAAGAATTAATTACAAGGAAGACTTGACTTTTTCATGGCTTACATATGCAGATGATGTTATGACTATTTATTTCTTGTAACATTTATAAAATAATGTAGATTTTTGTCTTTTTCATTAAGTTGATTATCTTTTTTATATTTTATCAATTTTAATTTGTATAACAATGAAATTAGAGGCTTGCATCATATAACTAAAAAGACTGCATTACTGAATACCAGTAACATTACTGTGTCATTTTACTAGATGTTACAGCATAAGTTATTTATAACACTTGATAAAGGTGCTAGCAAACTTTCATTTTACATGTAATAAATTGTCTACAAGACTGATACATAAAATTACTAACCACAAGTCACAAAAGTAATGCATCTAGTACAATGGTAAGCAGACTTAAATTGGTCCCTTTCATCAAAGCCACCCAATCAGCTTAGAATGCAGGCATGCTTGTGGATCTCATTCAGTTGGTTTAACTATTTTATTTAGTTTTGTGCTTGATAAGAATTATGCATGATATGTTTTGTTATGCAATTATTATAATACAATATTATTAGCTTAAAATTTTTTCACTTGATGATGTAAATGTTTATTATTGATGATGATGTAACTGTTTATTATTGATTTTACAACAAAAAATCACAGGATTAGTGATGTGATGTGATTATTTTTAATGTAGCTTTAACAATTTTTCAGTCATATGGCTATGTTGTCTGCAGTGTGGCAGTCTTCAGTGATGTCTAGCACTGGGGCATCATGCCACAGACATGTAGCATGATATCCCACCCAGTCACATTATCCTGACACCAGGCCAACCAGTTCTAACAATAACCTCTTAATGCTGAGCATCAAGCGAGGCAGCTGTTAGTACCATTTTTGTAAGTCTTTGGTATGACTCGACCGAGGATCAAACCCACAACCTCCCACACAGGATTAGGAAATTAAACTTAATTGGTTAATGTTCATCTAATTCAAAATAGGAAGTTGCATAAAGATTAATTTTCAATCTTAGATTATGTCAGAAGAAAGCAAGTATTAAGCAAATTATTGTAAATTATCTGGTTTTACAAGTGTTGAAACAACAGTATTTTTTATATAGGAATATAGTTTTGCAAAAATTAAATCCATCATGTTGGAATTATAGTTGAAAAATAAAAGTTTGATATACACACAATAGACCATTTGTAAAGACTGAAAACTTATCAAATATAGTTTGAAGTTTGTGTGATGCAGAAGTTTAAGTCTGACTTAAGCATTAGGTATCAACTATGTTATGGAAATTATATATTTTGCAAGACTTGTTTTTTGAAGGATGTTTTTATGGAATAATAATAATAATAATAATAATAATAATAATAATAATAATAATAATAATAATAATAATAATAATGCCCATCTTGTAACATCTGTGTGCATCCAGGTTTGGACTTGGGAGCCACATGCATAGTCGTCATGGTCTGCATTACTTGAATCATCATTGGACAAATATGGTGGAAAACATTTTATGACACCCATCTCAAATGTCCCAAGATTTTCTGAAAATTTTCTCTGGCTTGTCAGCTCTGTCATATTCTGGTATATGGCCTTACACCGATATATCTTCAGACCGTTATCAAATGGACTTTAATTAAATTCAATTCATGCTCCAAATAGACCAGATACCGTCCCTCACAGTCACCAATTTTTTGCAAGTTTAGCCCATATGCCAGACTTAATATTTACATACCACACTAATTGTGACAGAAAGTACGACAAAATTATCTCTCCAAAATTTGCACCATTAGGTTCATGTTTTACGTCTATAAAGAGGAAGGAACAGGCACCAATCCTCCCTCTTATTTAGTAACTAGCAGGAGATCAGGTCATCAAATTTTGTTATGGCAGCTCTTACATTGTCTCCATCTCTCAATCCATGTATATGGTTATTATAGGAAACTTTGATTTCATTGAATTTAGTCTGGAAAATGAGATGATTTGTTAAATCTTTTTAAATTTTCAAATCAAATGTTATTTTGAAAGGTTTAGATAACCACAGTGGTGATATACAATTTTTCAATATTTGTAACACAGATATATCCAGCTTCTTTACAAGGTTGAATTCAATTGTCAAATGAGAAAACCAAATTTTGTAAAATATTGTTAACTTATTTATATATTCAGTCTTTCCATACAGTTTCCCAAAATTTTTGTTTTTACTTACTAAATGGTTGTATCTGTAACAATTCATGCTGCCTAAATATTTACTTAAGTGTGCTTATTTCCCTTGCCGAGTTATCCCAAAAACTACCAAAGTATTCCAATAAACGTCTTATGTGAGTAAAATATAGACAGTCAAGAGATAGTCAATCATGACATAGTCTTTCTGCCCAGTAAAATATTTTTGAAGACAAATTTAATGCTAAATTATCAGTGGAGATTGATTTCATATAGCATGGGCTCAATTACAGTGACATCCACAGGTAGGAAGAGCTTTAATTTTCATATTTAAAATTTATCTGATATTTTTCATACAAGGCAAACAGCTACATAAAGTCTACAACACAAAACAAATAAATATCTGCATGGTTAAGTTTTGTATACAAAATAACATTTTTAAGAAACAAATTTGCAGCAAAAGAAAACTGGTAAAATTGATGTAAAACTGAATAAGAGACCCAATTAGGCCTGAGATTGCTCACCTAATGGATAATGCCCAATACCCAAGTGCAACAGCAGTTGGCCAAGAAATCGGGGTCTATAGGATGCATTTTGTTGAAATTTGTTCCAGCGATGTTTATTGCATATATTATGAAACAACTGTTTCAAGGTTTCTTTTTCAAAAATATTTCATCCATATTTGATGGTGGTACATTTGCATAATTTGTCTAATAATGAAAGGCCTCTATGTCATGGTATTTGGTGTCAATATTTGCAGAACTGGTCAGCAGGTTTTGGAGACAAAGTTGTGTTAATGTTTTTCTTAAAAACCTTTAGTGGTGGATTGGCATCATTTGTACAAATGTCAATGTTTTCTACTTTTAGTGGTGGATTGGCATCATTTGTACAAATGTCAATGTTCTCTACTTTTAGTGGTGGATTGGCATCATTTGTACAAATGTCAATGTTCTCTACTTTTAGTGGTAAATTGGCATCATTTGTACAAATGTCAATGTTTTCTACTTTTAGTGGTGGATTGGCATCATTTGTACAAATGTCAATGTTCTCTACTTTTAGTGGTGGATTGACATCATTTGTACAAATGTCAATGTTCTCTACTTTTAGTGGTGGATTGGCATCATTTGTACAAATGTGAAAGCCCTTAATACAACAATGCTTTGTGACAAATTTGGTCAAACTAAGTGAAGCTGTTTTTGATAAGAATTTGTTGCAATGTTTTTCTAGTTTTAGTAATAGTGGTAATATCTGATTATATGTAAAGATCTTTGTGCCTACATACTTTCTTTCAAGGTCGGTCTATGTCTATGAACCATTTTTGAAGTAGATTCAAACCATTCTATTATTTGTAATTGCAGCCATTCTTGATGGTGTATCCACATCATCAGTAGAAACTTGAAGGTTTTCATGCCAGGATGCTGTCAATTTTGGTCAAATTTTCAACAGTTTTTGGATATGTCTTTAAAGATTCTTCTATTTTCAGCAATTGTGGCTATATTTGATGGTGATAGTTACTGATTAAAACAATTGTAAAAGTCCTCCAGTCCTGGCCCTTTTTGATAAAATTTTGTTCATTGCTTTTGAATAAAAAAAGTCAGTTTTATTTTCCTTTTTGTTAGAAAAGTATGAACATATTTGCTTGTGGATCAGCATGAGATGTATAAAATTGAAAACCATCTGTGCAATGCTGCTTTCTGTCAAGTTGGTCACGTTATGTTGAGTGATTTTTGAGAAGCTGTTTTCTATTTATAGTAATGGTGACCATATTTGGTGGATTGGCATTGTATGAACCAGAAATATCTTCACCAGAACACTTTTATTAATTTTGTCAAGTTCTCATCTACAGTCTGGAGAAATTATTTAAAGGTTTTTGTTTTTAGCCACAGTGGTCATACTTAATGGTGAATTAGCATCACATGTATTAATTTGAAAGATCTCTAAGATGCTTTCAGTCAATTATAAAATTCTGTTCTGCATTTCTGATAAAAAGTCATATTTCTCATCTTTGTTTTTCAAGTAATAGCAACCATTTTTGATGGCAGATCAAGATCAGTTACAAACAAAATGAAAGACTTCCTTTCCAGGATTCCTTATTTGAAATATGATTAAATTCTGTTGAGCAGTTCTGAGAAGGTATTTCAAAGTTTTCTATTTTTAGTAATGGTGGCCATATTGGATGGCAGAGCTAATGAAAGATCCTTACACCTGGATACTTCTGTTTAGTGTCATCAGATTCTATTCAGAATGTTTGAAGATGGCATTTAAAAGCATTTTTCAATTATAGAAATGCTTGCCATTGT